TAGACAGGCTGTATCCACCGGTGCGCTTTACAGTACCCCTTGTGCGTTCTTCATTTGCGTACATCCCTCTTAAGTAAAAACGCACGGCGCAGCAATAGATGGACACTGGATTGATTAGTTCACGAAGGGGGCTTCGTGTAGGTTACCTTCCACTGTCAAGCTGTTCTCCCCTAGTGAGCCTGCTCTGCCAGTCACTACTAGTGGATCGGAGAGGAAGCCGCAGGACTTTGGCAGCAGGGTTGAAAATATTGTTTCCCCTCTCTCTTTCAGACTTCACCTTTCTCTCTGGGAACTTCCGCTGCTGCCAAAATGTCTCAACTGCAGGAATCTCACCCGGGAGACTGACTGTCTTCAATTGATTATTGACCTGTGTCCGTCTGTTTCATTGGTCAGATTCAACAGAGGTAAAAAGGAAAAGAAAAAAAAAGATCTTTTTTTTTTGTTTAAACGCGCACCAATTTGTGTCCGTGTGCACGAAAGGGGGGAAAGAAAGAGAGGGGGGTTAAGACAGACAGAGAGACAGATTCCTCCCATGTGTCTTTTGCAAATGAGACGCGACTGCCACCTACCGGCTTCCGTTCCCTGATTGTCATATGATATCGGCCTGAGGCTGTTTGTCGCATGGAACTGTTCTCCCATGACAGACTAGGTTGTGTTTAAACAGGGTTATATACACATCACATCTATTTGTATCTTTAAACATTACAGCAGACTTATCAGCCTGCACAATTTTTTCACCAGAAAGAAGACAGAGAGCATAGTCACAAGAAAAAAACAGGTGAAGAGAAGAGGGGAACTAAGACAACTTGGACTATCTAGAAAAATCTTCAGATATTGTAAAATATCAGTTACTGCAAGATTCAGGCTCATGGTATTGTAAGATGCACGTTTTGCAATTATGGAGGCTCTGCAACATTCATCTCTGCCAACCTGCTGCATGCAAACACAAGATGCATCCTTAAGCTTAACAAAAGGATCGATTGTGGATAGCAGAGTATGAATATGCCCCATCCTTGAGCAGTATACATGCATTCACAGAATGTGTCAGAGAAGATGTGAGAAAACCTTTGAATGCCAGAGCAGGGATGTGTCCATCGAGCTGTCAACATCCCTTCTCATTTCCCTCAGCAGTGAGAGCTTTGCATCATTCATCTGTCTTCATAACAGTCGACCTGCCTGTCTGTTTGTCTGCCATATGGTGGTAGAGAGCACCGCCCTCTTTCTTTCCAGTTGAAGCAGACACTATTAAATGACTCCCGTATTCTCACTCCACTCCAAGAAAGCAAATGAAGCCTATCAAGCCCATTCTTCTCTCTAAGATCCCCTACAGTGTTTTTGTATAACTACCCTCTTGATTAGTCATATTTCCATGCCATCCATATTATAAGTGTCGGGGAGGCTCTGAGTGCTCACTTCTGTAATAGGTGTCAGGTTTTCATATGACAATATGAGCTAATGGTTTCTGCCTAAAGCTGTTACTCATCCACCTGCGAGTCAGTGAATCTCTTGTGATGCTTCTGACTTCTTCACATTTTATTGACTGTGTGGAAACCATCAGTGAAAATCCTTTATCTTGATTTAGACTTCTTTTGAGACCACAAAGTGTTTTATAGATGATCTGTGTGCTTCTTAAAAAGTCCTTGGGATACACAGATTTTATTTTCATAATCATAATAACAAAATAACTCATATTAACATATTTTTTTAAAGGATTGTCAGTTACATCAATGAGATAAAACAGTTAAAGAAGTAGTTGGAAAGAATATTTGCTCAATTGATTTGATTATATAAGTAATTTTTTTAATGTCAGTTTTTAAAAGTTTCTTCTTTTTTCTCAGAGGGCTGTTCAGAAATTCAACTTACTCTGGACTTAGAATTGTTCTGGGGGGAAAGATGACATTTATGACCAAAGTCAGGGTATTTTCAACAAAAATCAATCTAAAGTGATAGAAAACAGTAAGCATGGTTGTGAGAGGGGTGCTCAGGACACTGCATGCTGAAAATAGTTGACTTCATTGGGGTTCTATTAAAGTGAAGCAATGCCAGTGCTAAAAGCTGTCAGTGGACACAGGCTGGGCCTGTATAAGCTACTTTTTTTGTAGACAATACTATGTCATGAATTTCTGTAACCACAGTATTGTTAATCGAAACAAGTAACATATGTAGTAATTTTCAAATGTAATATTCTTGTAAGAATACAGAAATTGAAACAAGAGTGATGTTACTATACAACAAAATTTCTGTCTGGAAATGAGGGCATTATTTCCCCTCCTTGGGGGACAAGGCTCATCAAAAAGACAAGACATTTTTTTTTTGATGAGGTGGGACTTTTGCTTTATGTCCGTTTCTGCGCCCCACGTGGACAATATGATCTATCCAAACTCTAATCCTGTACATGTAAAGTGGTGATTTCAAGCAGCATTCACTGTGAATAATGGACAAAAGAAAAAGTAAAAGACAAATTCTGCTCCTTAAGTTTTCTGTCAATCATCTGGTCTTACACTTACACCCTTTCAGCAGTTTCAGGCTTAAAAGTTACAACACATAAATTATCAGGTCTCATTTACTCTTAAAGGTCATAAAAGGAAATCATAACCCATTTGATCTGTTTCTTAGTTAAACCAGTTTTAATCAGTTAAAAACTCCTCCTGTTGCCTTAAATATAAGTAGGCAAGTAAAAACAGAGCATACAAAAGTTCAGTTACTTTTGTACTGCCCTAACTGAGCAATTTGTTTACTTTTTGATAGGAATGACTTTAGCGATAGTAGTGACTGGAGCGGTAGTAGCTTAGGAGGCAGAGTGGTCATACAAAATAAGGTTGGCGGTTCGATTCCCCCCTATTCCTAGTCTGTCCGTTGTGTCCTTGGGCAAGACACTTCACCCACCTTGCTCCCTGTGTGTGTCCTCCACTGGTGTATGAGTATTGTGTGGTGGTTGTCAGAGAGGTCGTAGATGCAGACTGGCAGCCACGTTTCCATCAGTCTGCCCCAGGGCAGTTGTGACTACTAAGGTAGTTTACCACCACCAGGGTGTGACTGTGTGAGTGAATGAATGACGTATCCAAGAGTACTTTGAGGGTCTCTGAGAAAGCGCTATAAAATCCGATGCATTATTATTATTTATTGTGAGAATTTACTTCTTTTTAGTAATACAGTTTAACACTGGGTTTCCCACAGTGTTGGATCACAACAATAAACACCAGCCTGTCCTTGGAGAGCCTCAAAGGCCTGTTGTGCTGCCATTATAAACACAATGACCTTGTTCCCGAAAGGGCAAGACAAATACAAGACTCTTGGGGCCAGTTATTCCAGAGGGGGCAAGGGCAAGTAAAAAAACTCACTTAAGGGAATGCTCCAATATAGATGATTGGTTATGCTTTCAGCATTGTTGTAAAACAATAAAGAAAAAAGATTGTATGACATTTATAAGAAGAATCACTGACACGGCAGAAGAGATGTAGGCTTTAAAATGATGTTTTCCTTTTACTACACCACGCGCTGCATCATGACTTTACTGAGACCACCCCTAAAAAAGCTGCTGTTTTGACAGAAGGGAGCAGTGAAGTGCCATTCAGGGATGGCTTAAGGCACTCAGATCTTTTCCCTTCCCTGAGAGTATTTTGCTGTCAGGACTTGAATAATACATGTGTTGGGATGCAATTAGATAATTTTATAATCATGTCAGCTACGCCATGTAGGTCTCATCCAGTGATCAAAAGGAATATATGTACACATGGCTTAGGTTTATGGAAACATTAGGTGCTGCGGACATAAGCATAAAGCTCCATGAAAAGCTGGGTGTAATACTGAGTAAATAAATAATCTCACTTTGATCTGCAAATGTCTGAGATATTCTCCAGTCTCACTTTGTTGTTGGCAAGAGTTCAGTGTTATTCTAATAAATCACACCTTCATAGCCCTCCCTATGTCTGATTTTCTACCCAAAAATAGTTATCTGCTCAGAGGCTGTGTGTGAGAAGGAGGTATATTGGCCCCTTTTAAAAGGAGGCTCTGAATACATTAATAATGTGTGTTTTTATTTTGAGATCTGGCATTTATAATTCATGATGTTGTTTTGGAGGGGTATAAGACATCACTACTGATATCCTGCAAGGCTCCGAGGCAACAATATAATGGAGCCAGGTGTGTGGTGAGAGGCGAGAAGTAGAAGTGAGTCTGTGGGCCAGTGTGTGTTTCACATGTTGCTTGTTTCTAAATTTGGCTTCAGTTATCTTTCCTCTATCCAAGGTTGCAGGCTTTTCTTTTTAAATCTAGTTTGATTTCCACTGTACTCCACATGAACCTCCTATATTAAAAACTCTATTTACACTCAGAGTGCAGAATCAATGAGAGAAATTTCCCTAATACATGGTGACATTGCTAAGATTCAGTGAATGCAGTACATTTCAGACACTTGATAATAAGGTGCATCGACGTGTTTGCAGGCCTGCTTAATCTCCACTTTGATCCACACTAATCTCTTACTGTACTTGTTATGTAAGGTTTTCCTTGGCCCAAACGGGACTTAAGATTAAAGAATAACTTCATAGTTACCTCCGCCAAGGAGGTTATGTTTTCGGTAGCGTTGGTTTGTTTGTTTGTTTGTTAGTTTGTTTGTTAGTTTGTTTGTCTGTTAGCAACTTTACGGAGAAAGTAACAGACGGATTGACCTGAAATTTTCACCAGAGGTGCGTCTCAGCCCCAGGAGGATCCCATTACATTTTGGTGGTGATCCGGATCGCCTTCTGGATCCAGGAATTTTTTGAAGGATTCTTTATCATTGTGAGATAGGGCAAATTTTGGAATTTTTGCATTTAACTCTATTAAAATGTCCAGAGTCTTTAGTAAAAAATGACACAAAAGGATCTCAATGAGTTTTATGAGGTGTCAAAGGTTGATCCTGATCCAGACAAAATTCCGGATACTGTGATCCAGAACACACAAAAATAAGGGTGTTGTAGGAATTCTCAATGCTGAAAGATAACCAATGGGCGGCACAATGGTTTAGATGGGTGGCACAGTGGTGTAGTGGTTAGCACTGTCGCCTCACAGCCAGAAGGTCCTGGGTTTGAATCCGGGTCAGGGCATTTCTTGTTTTAGGAACATTATGAACAGTGAACATACCAGTTTAAACACAAATAAAAGTTCATAAAAGACACGTAGCAGTAAAAGTTTTGGTGTGAATCACAATATAAGGGGGGACATGAGCTGCTTGGCGGAGGTCTGCGCTCTTTGAGTGCTTTTTCTAGTTTTCATTTGGGTTAATGCAAGGATCAGATTTCCATGTATCACCACTGCATCTTGGGAAAACAAAAAAATAAGAGTAAATAACATGTAAAACTAAAATACTAATTATAAAACACATGGGTGCTTAAAATCTGAGCAAATTTGAGCACCCATGTGTCAATTTTGATTTTCCTGAGGGAATCATCCAACAAGGATCAATAAAGTGCTATCTAAACGAATCTAATCTAATCACCTTTTGCATGGTTTATCCATTCATGCGTACTTCCATTAAGGAGGGTCAGTATTAACATAGAGAGCTTTCTCCTGCTGTGGGTGGGTCTGAGTGCAGGTTATAAAATTGAAAAGAACCAGTGTCAAAACAAAATACATTTTGTTGCTGTCTTGGGCCCTGTACTTAAAGGGGACCTGCCATAAAAATGTAATTTTTGGGGTTTTTTGTGTCATATAAGGTCCATATTATGTTCGTCTTATGTTGTAAATGTGAAAACAAACCGTTACGTCGTTTGCATTCTGTAAAGGTTTAAAATAAAGGAACGGGTAAACCAGGCCAATTGAAAAAGCAGGTCCTTCTGACGTCACGCTGACCTTGCTCATTATTATTCACGAGCGCGTCCTCGGTGAGCCGTGCCCACTCTCTCGTTCTCGTACTCATTCACAGTCAACATCACTCTCCAGCCAGAGCTAGACCCAGCTACCACTGTATCCGCTATGGGTCTCTTCCAAATGACCGGTGTTTCCTTGGGTTCACTGCCGGGAAAATGAACTTAAAGCTGGGCAGAATGAATGAGAAAACACCGCTGGAGATCTCCGGCTTCTTCCTCAACTTCCACCTCCTCTTCGGACTCAGGGTCTAAGATATATGGTTTAATACCTGCCATTTTTAGCCTTTAGCATAAGGTGACCAGTAGTCGAATGGGTAGGAAGCACAAGTAAGCAGTCCTGAACAACAGTTTTTAAGGGGGTTATTACAAGGGGCATGCGCTGCTACTAAATAGTACCGAGATGTTGCCTGTGATCACGCAGCCCCTGCAGCCTCCGCTGCCTCCGCTGCCGCACCAAATATCCCCGGATATCATTACGGACATCTGGGCACCTTACTTTGGCACACATTAGCAAAATGGATAAACCAAAATCCGAACCTCCACTGCTGAGCCAATCAGAGCGCAGCAGGCTTCACAGCAGCGACCCAATCAGAGCAAAGCTCATTACCATAAATGTTAATGAGCCAAAATCTGTTGGTTTTCCTTTAAGGTTTTTTAGGCATACTAAAACAAACCATAAAATAACTTTTCAGCTAAAATTATGTTGCAAACATGATCAGAGGACATCAAGGATAATGAAAAAATGATAAAAATGGGTATGAAATTTTGATGGCAGATCCCCTTTAAGTGCATATTTTGAGTTTCTGTACTTCACTTGACTACTATTTATGAGAAAACACTTGACGTTTTCTCCTCTGTTTGTGGATGACAAATGTCACACTTTAAATCAACTACTCTGAAGCAGCTGATGTATTTGTATGTGTTGTCTAAAATTGGATCCAACAGACATCCACCTGTGGTTTGTGTAAGTGGTGTAGCTGTACCTGTAGGCTTTGTGTCCCTGTGTTTGAACATAAGGCAAACTCAGCATCATTCAGACCAGTCAGTTATGGTAATGTTTGCTACAGCTGAGAAGTATGACACTTCTTCACCTGAGCACCAAAGGTCCATTAGTCTGTGTTTGAGGTTCTGCAATAAGAATGATTTACATGTTTTTTTAATGTTCTCTCCATTTGTACTCATTGATTCTAGGAACACAACAACGCTCTTGTATTTTCCACTCGGGAAAGTTAACAGGCTACTTCAGTATTTTTGAAAGCCAGTGCTTCAGTACTTTGACTTCAGGTACTAACTTGACAGAGCAACTTGCTCTTGTTTTAAAGGAATTTTTTGGCCCAGGGTATCTGGGCTTTGACTCAAGCGATGAAGTTGCAAACTTTTTCCTCAACTGTCTGATACAAAAGTGAGTTTGTTTAACACCACAGAATGAGCATACATCAGCAGCATTTCTGAGCTAACTCTTTTTTTATTTTTTTTCGCCTCATGAGGTTTCAGAAGCTCTTCGTAATTTCACCCTGCCAGCTTTACATGTCTGGAAGCTATCAGTCGATCAGACTCTATTTGTAGAGTGTTTTTCATGTTTTTTTTCTTTTTGAGTCTTTAGGTAGGAGAAAAAAGGGGACAGAGTCACCAAGAGATTTACACAAACACTAAACTCATAAAACAATGAAAAACTTAATTTGGTCTTAAGACGTAACACTATCAAAATGAACAAAAAAAAATGTTGAACACCAAACCAAGAACAAAATAAAACTAGAAAAGCACTTGGAGAGCGCAGACTTCCGCCAAACAGCTCATGTCCCCACCTATTGTGATTCACACCAAAACTTTTAGTGTTACGTGTCTTTTATGAACTTTTATTTGTGTTTAAACTGGTATGTTCACTGTTTATAATGTTCCTAATACAAGAAACACCCTGTCCCGGATTCGAACCCAGGACCTTCTTGCTGTGTGGCGACAGTGCTAACCACTACACCACTGTGCCACCCATCTACACCGCTGTGCCGCCCATTGGTTATCTTTCATTATTGAAAATTCCAACGACACCCTTATTTCTGTGTGTTCTGGATCACAGTATCTGGAATTTTGTCTGGATCAGGATCAACCTTTGACACCTCATAAATCTCATTGAGATCCTTTTGTGTAATTTTTTACTAAAGACTCTGGCCATTTTTATAGAGTTAAATGCAAAAATCCCAGAATTTGCCCTATCTCACAATGATAAAGAATCCTTCAAAAAATTCCTGGATCCAGAAGGCGATCCGGATCACCACCAAAATGTAATGGGATCCTCCTGGGGCTGAGACGCACCTCTGGTGAAAATTTCAGGTCAATCTGTCTGTAACTTTCTCCATAAAGTTGCTAACAGACAAACAAACTAACAAACAAACAAACCAACTAGAAAAGCACTCGGAGAGCGCAGACCTCTGCCAAGCAGCTCATGTCCCCCCTTAAACAAGAATTGCCCTGACCGGGATTTGAACCCAGGACCTTCTGGTTGTGAGGTGACAGTGCTAACCACTACACAACTATGCCACCCATTGGTTATCCTTCAGCATTGAAAATTCCAACAACACCCTTATTTTTGTGTGTTCTGGATCACAGTATCCAGAATTTTGTCCGGATCACCACCAAAATTTAATGGGATCCTCCTGGGGCTGAGACGTTAATCATGAGTTAATGGTGACCAAAAACTGGAGATTAATGTAAAGTTTCAAAATTCAATAAAGATAAAAACTTTAAAAGACAAGTAAATACTTGTCACACTAGACAGGTTTAATGCATTGACAGAAAGGTATGCAAGGTAAGTTTTTACCAGTCTGCAGCTTCTGGAGTTGTCTCTGAAAAAAACTCCACTAGCTTGTCCTTATATGCATGATGTTTTGTTTCCAAATGGCGCTTCAGTTTGGATGGTTTCATGCTCTCATCCAAGCACCTTGTTACATATTACACACTGGAGTTTCTGTCCCTTATTATCCTCGATGAATGTAAATCCATATTTCAAGTAGCCCGGGTCGTATTTACACTTTGCCATTTTACCTCCTCCTTGCAACATAAACTGAGTGTCCAGGTAATGGTAGTAACCTTGGCTACCAGGCCTTGGAGGCCTTTTGCCTGGTTTATCCATTCAAGTATGTGTATTCATTCAAGCATACTTCCATTGAGGAAAGTCAGTATTAACATAGAGAGCTTTCTCCTGCTGTGTCTCTAAGTCTGAGTGCTGGTTTTAAAATGGAAATCAACCTTGGTTCAATGCAAAAGAAAGAGTGACAACAAAGGTTCAAAAAACTTGTTTGTATGATTAAACAAACTGAACGTTCACCAACATTTTCTGCTCAAGAATACTTCACAATTGTTTACCTGAAAGAAATGAGTTTGTTTTTTAATGTTTTTTTTTTTTTTACTTATACATTAACTTTCTAAGGGAGTTTATCATCTTCAAGATAGTCTCTCGAGGCGCAGAGGTGACTATCAAATATTGCTCTTTATTTAAGTGGCAAGAATGGACTGTCTTGAACATTGTTATCCGCTGCTCCCTCAGTACAACACTTGCGTGAAAAACTAGATATACTTGACCTTCAGAGTGCTCCACACAAGAGGCTAAAATAAAATGCCAGCTTAAAAAAAGACAAAAAAAAAAAAAAAAAGAAAGGAAGTTTGATGCACAGTTTTGGAAGAGAACCAGAATTTCAGGGCAGATACTGACGACAAAAGCAATGCTGCCTCACATATAGGCACTTGAAACTCTGCCAGCATTTGACTGTATCGTTAAACATAGCTCTGATGAGCATCGACAGACAAAGTTTGAGGCGTTTGGATTCATTGATTTGAGGTTTAATTGCTTTAATGCGTGGGCACTGAGCAATTATGTATTCCTTTCAGCCTGTGTGCAACTTCTTTGTGGGTCATGACTGTGTGAAAGTATCATAATTTTGTGATGCAAAGATGATGTAGGCAGTTGAAATATACTGTGAAAAATCTGATAGAGAGGGAGGCAGTACACAGGAATCATACTGGTTCTGCAGAGCATGATGAAATGTGGTTAAGTGAAAATGTATGGTCCAGAATATTTATTTGAATGTTTGTTCCTCTGGCAAACTTGTCATCTTATTGCACTTCTACATGATCATGTGGCAGATTTAGATATGTACAAGAAGTTCCAAGTTCCTCATCAAATTGTGTGGAAACATGGCCCTTTGCTGATTTCTGTGTATTAAGTCTTGAGCACTTGAGAGATTATCATGCAGTGACCAAAGCCATCCTTTACTTTTTTTTATTCCAGGAAATAAGCCTGAATTTATTGGTGATTTGCTGTTTCCTCAATCACTCTTCCTGCTTTTTATACCCCCCAATGAATATTTTTAATGTCCTCATCTGAAATTGTAGAGCTCTG